TGAACCCAGGAGGCGGAGGTTGCGGTGAGCCGAGATTGTGCCATTACACTCCAGCCTGGGTAACAAGAGCGAAACTCCGTCTCAAAAAAAAAAAAAAAATTATTAACGGTAGGGAATTTAAATTAAAATAACAATGTAATATTTTCCACCCATTCGAATGGCAACATTTTCAAAGACCAGGAGTATTTCTTGTTGGTGGAGCTGTGTGAAAGAGGAAGTATTCTTTCCTGATGAATATGAGAGTATGAAAATGTACAGTCATATAGAAACTGTATGGAAAACAGTGTAGCAACATCTGTTTAAGTGCACATAAATATATTGACTTACCAGTTATATCCCAGACTCTGTCCCTAGAAGTAAAAAACTTATGTACCAGAAAATTGCCAAGTTTTGGCAAAAGTGTAGAGCAATGAAAACGAACACACGCTGTCTGGGCATGGTGGCTCATGCCTGCAATCCCAGCACTTTGGGAGGCTGAGAGGGGTGGATCACCTGAGGTCAGGAGTTTGAGACCAGCCTGGCCAACATGGCAAAACCCCGTCTCTACTAAAAATACAAAAATGAGCCAGGCATGGTGGCATGCACCTGTAATCCCAGCTACTCGGGAGGCTGAGGCAGCCTCCTTGAACCCGGGAGGCTGAGGTTGCAGTGAGCCAAGACTGCACCACTGCACTCCAGCCTAGGTGACAGAGTGAGACTCTGACAAACAAAACAACAGCAACAACAAAACTAACACATACAGCTAATGGTGGTGTGTATTGATGCAATCACTTTGAAAACCTGTTTTCCAGTGTCTTCTAAATCTGATCATATGAATACTTGTGATGTAGAAATACCACTCTTGGTATGTGCTCAATGGAGATGTGTGCATATGCTCACCAGAAGCAATGCTGAAGAATAGTGACTGCCGCGCTATTCATGGAAGCCTAAAAGTGGAAACTGCCAACTATGGTTGGAATGTTTGTCCCTGGGAAACTCATGTGGAAATTTAATTGGCAATGGAACTGTATTCAGAGTTGGGCTCTTGAAGAGATGATTAGGCCATTAGGGCTCCACCCTCATTAGTGAGATTGGTGCTGCTGTCAACAGGTGGATTTGGCTTTCTCTCTCTCTCTCTCTCTCTCTCTCTCTCTCTCTCTCTCTCTCTCTCTCTCTCTCTCTCTCTCTCTCTCTCTCTCTCTCTCTCTCTCTCTCTCGGCTTTGCTCTTCTGCTATGTGAGGAACAATGTTCCTCCTCTCCAGAGAATGCCATTTTTTATATTATCCATTTAATTCTGGGCCCAGGATTAAAGAGGGCTTGGTCTTGGACTTCCCAGCACCTAGAACTATGAAATAAATTTCTGTTCTTTATAAACTACCCAGTCTCAGGTATTCTGTTATAGCAGCACAAAATGAACTAAGACAGTACCCAGTATCCTTGAAGACTAGAATGGACAGATGAATTCTCATATTCTTTCAATGGTATAGTGTTCAGGAATAAGAACAAACACTCCAAGCATCGATATGATTGAATCTCACAAAAGAAATCAGGCACAACGGCGTACAAATGCATACTTCCATTTATATACAACCTCCAAACACACAAAGCGTAGAAATTAGAAGGTAGCTGTTACACTACAAGTGGATAAGAGGCTTCCGGAGCACTGGTAATGTTCTATTTCTTGATCTAGAAGCTGATTATATGGGTGTGTTCAGTTTAAAAATTCATTGAGCTGTATATCTCCAATTTGTCCACCAAGTTGTTTTTTCTCCCAAACAATCATATGTGTAGGATTTATAATGCATTGATGATGGCCAATGAATTAAAATTCTGTATACCCACATTATGGATATTATGCAGCCGCTGAAATAAATGAATTGGTACTATACCAAATTTACATATAGTATCTCATTTGGGAGGCAAACGAGAACAAAAATAGTGGCTGACTGTGGGGCTCACACCTACAATCCCAGCACTTTGGGAGACTGAGGCAGGAGGATCACTTGAGCTCAGGAATTTGAGACTAGCCTGAGCAACAGAGTGAAACCCCATCTCTACAAAAAATCAACAGATTAGCCAGACAAGGTGGTATGCACCTGTGGTTCCAGCTGCATGAGAGGCTGAGGCAGGAAGATCGCTTCAGCCTTGGAAGTCAAGGCTGTAGTGAGCTGTGTTCATGCCACTGCCCTCCAGTCTGGGTGACAGAAGGTCTGTCTCAAAAACAAGACAACTCCATTGTATATGTTAAACATGTAATCCTCATAACAACCCTAGGATACTGGTATAATATTCTCATTTACAAATGAAGACATAGAGGCAGGAGAGATTACTTAAATAACTCATCTGAAAGTCACAAAGCTAATATAGGGTAGAATTTTTAGAAGTTAGAAATTCCTACCATTTCAGTATAGAACCACATAGAGAACTCCTTTTATCAGTATGGAGCCATTAATCAAAACTCTTCGGAAATGAAAGCACCAGAAGATGCAAAACCAAATAATATCACCAACCAGTCAATGGTTAAGTGTCTTTTCTCAAGACTAATAGTGAATAATTTGTGGGGTGCTGACCAAGGCGTACATCCAAGCCTTTAACTTATTTTTCTATTAAACAACCCTACAATACATGGACAAACACTACTGATCATCTACATCCTACAGATGAATACCCAATTCCAGGCCTCATTTTCTCTGCCCAATCCTGTCTCTCCAACTTCATGGAATTCACATGAACTCTGAAGTGGGCAGATCTAGGCCTCCTCAAGTTCCAGCCTCTTATCCGCTGTGGACTTCAGATACGGAAGATAAATAAATCCTGATTATATTGTATTTTTATTTCTTTTCATTCATCTAGGTCAAGCTCAGATGTTACCTGCTCATTTATTCACTCACTCATGCATGCACTTAGCACAAATTGAGAACTTACATTATGCCAGAGTTGCTGGACTAATAAAAAGATGAATAAGTCATGTTATCTACCGTCTAGGAAGTCAGTCTTCTGAGAGAGATATCCTTACAAATGAACATACAAAATGTAGTGTCCTATAATATGGTTACTTCCTAAGTTGGAAGAGGAAACAGTCAGCTCTGCCTGGAGGAATCAGAGAAGGAAGACCTTCCAGGCTGAAGAGGAATTCACTCGGCAGCTAAGGATATGGCATGGGCAAAAGTGCAAGAACCATTTACTGGGACAGTGCCATGATCAGATTTGGCTTTCAAACAACTAGACATGGATGTGAACTAAAAGTGAATAGAAAAAAAGAGAGAGAGAGAGACCAATTAAGAGGCAAAAAAATGAAGAAGCTTTGACCACATTAGTGAAAATTTTAGGAAAGCAGATTCAGTAACCCTAGGTGACAGATTGAACGTGTAACGCAGAACGGGGAGATGTGGAGGATAATTCTAAGCTGCTAGTTCAGGAGATTGAGTAGGTTGAGGTGCATTAAAATGAGACTGAAAAATTTGAACAAAGGAAACAGGGGTTTTTTTTTTCATTTTTGTGTTTGTTTATAATTTCAACTTTTGGAGAACAATCGGTACCATCACCCAGGTAGTGAGCACAGTACCCAATAATTTTCAACCCTTGCCTTGCTTCCTCCCTCTAGTAGTCCCCACTGCCTACTGTTGCAGTCTTTGTATCTACACGCACTCAATGTTTAGCTCCCACTTATAATAAGAATATGCAGTATTTTGTTTTCTATTCATGTGTTAATTCATTTAGGAGAATGGTTTCCAGCTGCATCCATGTTGCTACAAAGGGCATGATTTTATTTTTTATGGCTGTGTTATCTTCCGTGGTGTAAATGTGCTACATTTCCTCTATCCAATCCACTGTTGATGGGCGTCTAGATTGCTTTCATGTCTTTGCTACTGTGAACAGTGCTGCAATGAACATACAAGTACATGTGTCTTTTGGTAGAATAATTTATTTTCTTTTGGTTATTATATATACCCAGCAATGAGATTATTGGGTCAAATGGTAGCTCTTTTCAAGTTCCTTGAGAAATCACCAAACAGCTTTCCACAATGTCTGAATTAATTTACATTCCCACCAACAGTGTGTGTTTTCTTCTCTCCACAGGCTTGTCTGCATCTGTTGTTTTCTTTTGTTTGGTTTTTTTGTTTTTTTTTTTTGCTTTCCAGTAATAACCATTCTGACTGGTGTGAGATGGTATCACACTGTGGTTTTCATCTGCATTGCTCTGATGACAGTGATGTTGAGCATTTTTCATCTTTGCTGGTTGCTTGTATGTCTTCTTTTGAGAAGTGTCTGTTCATGTCTTTTGCCCACTTTTTAATGGGGTTGTTTGTTTTTGGCTTGTTGAATTGTTTTACTTTCCTTATAGATTCTGGAAACTAGACCATTGTCAGATGCAGTTTATGAATAAAATTTTCTTCTATTCTGTAGGTTATCTGTTTATGCTGTTGATGGTTTCTTTTGCTCCGCAGAAGCTTAGTTTAATTAGGTCCTGCTTGTCAATTTTTGTTTTTTTGTTGCAATTGCTTTTGAGGACTTAGTCATAAATTCTTTGCTGAGGCCAGTGTCCAGAATGGTGTTTCCTGAGCTTTCCTCTAGGATTCTTATAGTTTGAGGTCTTATATTTATCTTTAATCCATCTTAAGTTAATTTTTATATATGGTGAAAGGTGGGGGTCCAGTTTCATTCTTCTGTATATGGCTAACCAGCTATTCCTGCACCATGTATTGACTAGAGAGTCCTTTCCCCATTGCTTATTTTTGGTGACTTTGTTAAAGATCAGATGGTTATAGGTGTGCAGTTTTATTTCTGGTTTCTCTATTCTGTTTCACTGGTCTATGTGTCTGTTTTCATACCAGTATCACACTGTTTTGGTTACTGTAGCCTTATATAAATATAACAGCACAATGTGAAGTCAGATAATATAATGCCTCTGCCTTTGTTCTTTTTGCTTAGAATTATTTGGGCAATTCAGACTCTCTTTTGGTTCCAAATGAATTTTAGAATACTTTTTTATTTTTCAAATTGTTATTAATTTTTAGTATAAAATAACGACTGCTTCAACAACTCGTGTGTCCTCTTTGTGTAGGAACCATGGTAATTTTATCTGTATCATTCCAATTTTAGTCTATGTGTTGCCAAAGCAGCACTAGAATATTTTTTTCTAATACTGTGGAAAATAATATTGGTAGTTTGATGGGAATAGTATGGAATCTGTAGACTGCTTTGGCAGTATGGTTATTTTAACAAAAGGAACATGGCATTGGCGGAGGAGAAAAGAGAATGTGTCAGGTCTCGGATTTATTGAACTTAAGTTGCACATGGGATTCTTCTGGAGGAATTGTATAGTGGGCAGTTTGCAAATACAGCATTGGCATCGGGGAGAATCAAAACTTGCATTGTTGGTTTTTCTTAATGCTTAACTCAAATAATTACCTTGAATGTTTGTGCTTACTTAAGTCACTCTTCTATAGGTTGACATTTAATTTGACTTTTGAGTAGCCTTTCATGTACTTAACCTTTTTCGGCCTGAGCTTTTGAACTCATTTGCAGAATCAGGTAATTTTAAAAAGCGTTTTATTTAGAAATAATTTTAAACTGACAGATTGTCAAGAATTCTATAGAGAACTCTCCTATTCCCTTTATGCAAATTCACCAATTTTTATCCATTTGTCACATTTTGCCACACTTGAGCTCTTGTGCATACAGGCACTCCCTCCTCACCCCTCTGTCTGCACACACACATTAGTTTTTTTATGAGTCATTTAAAAGTACTTTGCAGATATCGTGACCCTTTACTCCTCAGTGTATATTTATTCAGTGTATATTTTTAAAGAACAAGATAATAATAAAATTCAGAAAACTAAATATTGATGTACTACCTTAATCTCTAATCTTATGCCAAATTTACCAATTGTCCTAGTAATATCATTTAAAGCAATTTTTGGTACGTTATCTAGTCCAATAACACACTGATGTTCCTTAGAGGTTCTAGGGAACAAATGTGTTATTTTGAAAACATTTAGGCCAGGCATGGTGGCTCACACCTGTAATCTCAGCACTTTGGGATGCCAGGGCAGGCGGATCACCAGGTCAAGAGATCGAGACCATCCTGCCTAACATGGTGAAACCCCATCTCTACTAAAAATACAAAAATTAGCTGGGCATGGTGGCACACGTGCCTGTAGTCCCAGCTACTTGGGAGGCTGAAGCAGGAGAATCACTTGAACCCAAAAGGTGGAGGTTACAGTGAGCAGAGATCGCACCACTGCACTCAAGACTGGCAACAGAGTGAGACTCTGTCTCAAAAAAAAAGAAAAGAAAAGAAAAAGAACATTTAGTTGTTACAAATTAGTTATAATGTGGACTTTAAATAGTTTATTCAAGAACAAACCACCCTATTCCTCTTAAGCAGATCAGCCCAGTCTTGAAAGGACCAGATTTATGAAGACAAATTTCCCTACCCGATCTCTGAAGTGTCAAGTTGCTATTTCTAACACATACACAAAAAAAATTTAGAGGAAAATATTTGGAAATGTTTCTATTTGTTGTGTGCCTAGGAGGTGACAAGACACAAAATTGTTCCCTGCTTCTCTGTCAAAATCCTGGCATGTAGACCCTCTGTTTTCTCAATTAATTATAGAATTTTGACTGCTGAATGGGCAATCTTTAACCTAGGCTGACCATTTGGAATTTAAAATTAGCAGAGTAATTATATTTACTGGGCCACTGATTCAAGGAAAATTGAGCTCGGCTGATGAATTTGCGTGTCGTGAAATGGGTCATGACAGCAGATGGTCTTCCAAGAGGCAAAAAATAACTCTGATGTTGGTTGCTCTTTCTCCTTGACTTCTTTCACTGAACCCTGCTGCAATAATGTGAATGCTGAAAGCAGGTCCAGTGAATTTGGGATGTCTGGATGGATAATCAAGGAGAGTTGTTAGCTGTCAAGGAAGAATATTTTGATCTTAAAATAAATCGCCGTATATGGAGATCTGAATATAAAGCTAATGCTGTGTTCAGTTACCATCATCATTAACATTTATTAAGTGCTCCCTCTCACAGGTGCTATTCTCAATGCCTTACATGTATTGGCTTGTTTAATCTTCACCAAAACCAATAAGCAAGGATCGTTATCATCCGCATTTTATAAATGAGAACATTGAAAGTAAGAGAATAAATTGACCAAGTTCAAATAAATTGTTTTGGTTTTCGTTTCTTGTCATGTGAAATAATTGAAGCTGGAGGAGATTTTGTCTGTATTAAACTCAGGAAGGTCATGTTGAGATTGTCGTTTCTAAATACTGTTTCCCACTAAAAGAAGCCAGGGCATCTTGGAGAAATGGCTGATTTGACATCTGGAGCTAGAAATGTACAAGATAAGCATAAAACATCTTGTCATACCAAATGGCAGGAAAATGACTTTTTTTTAAGACTCAAGAGCTCTTATTGGGCAAAGAGGAACAAATTTGGGTATTAATAAAAAGGACCATTAAAATGGATGCCAACAAATAGAAAATATTTGTTGAAACACATAGACTATATTTAAATGCATTTGTTTATAATAATACATATCTGGTATTTTTTAGAGGCTCTAGGGAATCAATTCACTATTTTGAAAACTGATCAATAGGGAGAAAGAATCAAGCAGGATTTTTTCTTTTCTATATGAACCGTATCTCAGTGTAACCAAATATTTAACAAGGACAAGTTTCTTTTTACATAAGTAATCTACCCAACAAATGAAGAAGGAATAATTAAAATATCACTATTTGAATTACTAGGAATTAATGTTTCTCAGCAATGATCAACAATGGCTGGTAACATTTAAAAAGTGGCATTTTATGACTCTTGATGGAAGTATTGCCCACTACCTATATAATAGTCTTGCTTTAAAAAAATCTGTTTAAGCACCTGTATGTAACAGGAAATACAGAGGACAGAGAAACATGTTAAGTGACACTATGGGGATGAAATCAGAAAAATCCAGACTATGAGAAACTCAGGAAAAGGGTCTATTTCTTCTATACAACAATAGTGACAATAGTGAAAGACAAATGTAAGGAGGAAGAATGTTTATATTAAAAGAGACTTAAGGACTGGGCATGATGGCTTATACCTGTAATTCTACCACGTTGGGAGGCTGAGATGAGAGGATCTCTTGAGCCCAGGAGTTCAAGACCAGCCTGGGCAACAACAGCAGAGTTTAAGACTCTTAAAACTTATAATTAGCCAACAGCAATATATAGGGCTTTTTGGATTCTATTTCAAATGCACTTTAAAACAGAAAACAGCAAAACAAATTAGAGCCAGAACATTTATAGATAATCAGAAAAATAGAAACATTGATATTAACAAATTATAATTACAATTTGGGAGAGAGGATGATGATGTAATTATATTTAAAACAGAGTCTTTAGAGATACATACTAAAATACTTCAAATGAAATTATATGATGTCTAGGAGTTGCTTCAAAATAATTAGGAGAAGACAGGTACAGTGGCCCAAGCTCAAAATTTTGCCTACTCAGGAGGCTGAGGCAAGGAAGATTGCTTGAGCCTGGGAGTTTAAGTCCAGCCTGGGTAACTTAGTGAAACCCTGCCTCTAAAAAATAAAATTAAAAATAACTGGGAGTCATTGGGGAAATGCATAGGGCTATAAAAAAAAACTAATGACAGTTATTGAGCTGAATAATAAGTATGTGGAGTTCATTCTTTCATTCTCTCCGCCTTCACATATATTTGAAAGATTGCATATAAAAACTGTTTTTGATGTGGTTCATACATACAGAAATGCAAATTTTTTTGTGGCTATATGACATAATGCAATGTTTCTTAAAATACATTCTTTGGAACATAGTTCCAAATAATAAATTAGTTCCCATTAAGAGATTTGCTTCATACAACAGTTTTTGAGATTAGATTAGAAAATGCTGAATTAGGGAGCAAGATGGCTGAACAGAGATTCTACCAATTGTCTCCTCACAAGAACACCAAATTTAATAACTATCTATACAAAAAACACCTTCATAAGAACCAAAAATCAAATGAGCACTCCCAGTATCTGGTTTTAACTTCCTATCACTGAAAGAGCCACGGAAGAGGGTAGGAAAGACAGTCTTGAATTGCTAATGATCTCTCTCCCTCATACTCTACTAGTAGTTGTATAGATCATAGACAGAACCTATGTGCTTGGGAGAGGGAGAGCACAGCCGTTGTGAGACTTTGCATTGAACTCAGTGCTGCCCTGTCACAGTGGAAAGCAAAACCGTGCTGAACTGAGTTGATGCCAACACACAGAGGGAGCATTTAGACCAGCCCTAGCCAGAAAAAAAGTCAGAATCGCCCATCCCAGCAGGTGATAATTGAGTTCTAGCAAGCCAACAGCTTTAGCAACCGCAGGCTAAAGCGCTCTGGGGCTCTAAATAAACTTGAAAGGTAGCCTAGGCCACGACTCCTAGGCAAGTTCCAGTGCTGTGCTTGGCTCAGAGCCAGTAGACTTGTGGGGCATGTGGACACTCCCCTGGGGTGTTTAAGGGAGTATCTGTGCCACCCCTCCCTCAAATCCAGGCAGCACAGCTTTTGGTTCCAAAAGAGACCCTTTGCTTCCATCTGAGAAGAGGAGAGGGAAGACTCAAGGGGACTTCATCTTGCATCTTGGACACCAGCTCAGCCACAATAGGATAGGACACTGGGCAGATCGTGAGGCCCCCATTTCAGGCTCTAGTTCCTACATGACATTTCTAGACATACCCTGAGCCAGACGGGAACCCACTACCTTGAAAGGAAGGACTCAGGACTGGCAGGATCACCTGTTGACCTGGGTCCTGAATAACTAGTAGTGATACCCAGGCAGTAGGCCATGGGCCTTGGGTGATGTTCTGTGACATGCTGGCTTCGGGGGAATCCCAGAGCATTCCCAAATGTGCTGGCTATGATGAAAGACCTTCTCCGTTTGAGAACAGCAGAGGGAAAAGTAAAGGGGGCTTTGTCTTGCGCTGTAGGTACTAGGTCAGCCACAGGGAAATAGGGCAACAAGTGGGCTCTTGGGGTTCCTGATTCCAGGCCTTGGACCTTAGATGGTGTGTCTAGACTTGTGCTGGGCTGGGGTTGATCTCAGGCCTGACAGCATTCACCTCAAGCTGACTCG